TGCCCAAATTCAGATTTAATGGATGCGTGTTCTCGCTTTTACGTCATTTGTTTTGAGTTTTAAATGCCTTTTTCTACAGGCGTCATAGACGTGACGGTGCACACTGTTATGTTCCATTAGTGGTGTCTAGTTTTTACTTTGAGCGGGCCAGAATTTTACTTTTAGGGTTGAGGAGTTTACTGTTGAACAAAAATACTTTTCCTATGGATGCTAATAGCTTGTGATTATTGGTTTTAGAAGGTCAAAAGCTGGTGAATAAATAATTCAAGTATCTTGGACCCATGGGCTTATAGTGTAAACAAATCAAATTTTGAATGTCTTTTTTCAAATTATGAGGCTGTCACTTACATGTTCGTGTTACCTTTTTCTCAAATAAAAAGACGTCAAAAACAGTGATTTTGTTGCTACGTCATTGTTTGAGAGAGCTGTTCTTTTAATAGAAACGTGTTTAGTGCTTGATTGATACTGTTATGTTGTGAGTGGCTCCATCATTGGTTCCTACTTTTTGCTTTAATGGACCAAACTTTCACTTTAACGGCCGGATAGACTAGAGAGTGTTCTTACTTGAATTTATATTCACTGAAAAACTATTATTGGGCCGAAAGGAGCGAACCTAATGCTTTGATTTGAGGATTTATTTTGCTACAATTCTGCTCAAGAGAGTTACTTGGTTGTTTATACGTCACTCTACGCTATTAGGGCCATTGATGGTTGAATTTGTATTTTTAGTTTTAACCTTTCACTCGAGCCCCTTGCGATAGAAATAATTTCTCATAGGCATGTCATTAATGCCTTTGTTCCGAAGTCGCGTAATCATGAAAGTACAAGCAATAAGATTAAGATGTTCCATTCTATTGTCACATTTAATATATGATATTAACAATATTTGAATCAGCTAAAATAGTTGACGGAGAAAGCAAACATTACTTATAAGGCAAATATTTCTCTCGATCATGGCGTCGCCCAATAGTGTGCCTTTTCTAGGCAGCGAGTTTGAAAAAAAACGGCAATGAACAGACCTTTCTTTGTCAAATTGTCGTAAATGCGATGTATCTCTCGTAAAGTTCTATGGAATGATATCTGCACCTCTGCTCCTCCTGATATCATTATGGTACCTTTTAGGTGGATAAGGAATTGAAAGAGAACTCGAAGCTTTCTCTCTGCCGTAATGCCCTTCTCAATCGAGCACAGGAAACTTTTGTTAACAAAACATGGGAGGATGAACGAAATGTGAAGGTAGTGGAGGACTTTCTATTTCAAAGAAGCTGACGAATATATTAAGCCTCTGATATGGATATCATAATTCAGGTCAAAGAAATCGAAGAGGAAGAAGATCCCAAGAAGAAACTGCAGATGGAACTCGATCTTCAGGAAGCTGACAACAAGTTCCGACGGCGAAAGTTTGGAAATATCACGTGAGCCTATACTTCTGCCGAATTTTGAGTTTTGCAGCATCTCATTCGATGAAAGATACTGCACCAATTTTTCAAAAAGCAGTATGCGTTTAAGATTTATCGGACAATTATATCGTCAATCGTTGCTATCGACAAAGATTGTTCAATGGTGCTTGTTCGACTTGATCAAACATTCACATCGAAATCCTGATACGGGGAAACTCCCTGAGCCTCCTTACGATGAGGTAGTGTAACTTTCTTTCTCTTTTCAGTTATTGAATATATTCATCGCTTTGAGTGCGGTTGAGGAGTTGTCTGAATTTTGATAATCTTTATGTTCATTTTTCTGAATTTAAGGAATCCCTCCAATGTGCTATTCAACTTATTGAAAGCCTTGGAAAACAATTAGATCTATCTACACCTGAATTTAACGGCAAAGAATACTTAGATCAGACGTTGAAACATCTAGAATGTATATCTGGCATGTGCAGCAACAAAATTAGGTAACTTTTTCTTCTTGTTTTGTGAAATATGCGCTCAGGTGCTGGTGTCAAATTATTGCAGAAATAATTCTTTGAACTTTTATGTTTATTCAGGTTTATGATAATGAATGTCATTGAACTGCGACAAAACCGATGGATTCCTCGAAAAGGAGTCGATCAAGGACCGAAGAAAATTGCTGAAATTCACAATGAGATCAAACGTGAACAAATGGAAAATCAAATGCAACGAGATCAAGTGAGTTTCTAGCACTAATGTTCTTGACAACGAGGCATTCACGATCATTTCCAACCTTTAGTATGACCGAAAGCTGCGAACCGGCGGAAGTACTTCTCAACATGGCCGAAATCCACCTGTTGCGCGAAGCTCGCTCGACAACCGATTTGGACCTAAAGGAGGAGATCGCCGTTCAATTGCAGCTTCAAAGTCCAAGCAGACCCCATCAAGTGTTCAACCCAAGAACGTCAGTTTGTTATTGAAGGTAAGCATA